ATGAATGGAACACTAAGTGATGCAATAAGCCAATCACAAAAGGATCAATGTTGTATGATCTCACATATTAAAAAAAAAAAAACTAGGAAATGTATAGACAGCAAAATATATTAGTGGTCTCCAGGACTGAGAAGGAAGGAGAATAAGAAGTAATGATAATAGAAAAAATTATGTCGATTATGAGGATAATTGCACAGCCAACGATTTGTAATGCTGTAAGTAGTATTCTAGGTAAAAGTTGAGTTGGCAAAAGTTGTGTGATAGATACATTTGCAACAATAACAGAAGAAAAGTAGTTGTTGAGGTTGCTTATACACAACGAAGTAAACTCACTATGGAACTTGGTTTCTTGGTTAAAAGGTTAGGGTTCTGGTTTCAGGGGACCTCCCCTTTAAATGGCAGGAGTTGTTTAGTGCTCCTGTTTTTTTGCCTCCTAGCTTATTTAGTTCCTGAGGTCTTAAGACGTTTATAAGCAGCCATTCAAGAAACAGTTTCTTATGCAACAAAGAAACAAAGAGAATCCGGAATAGGAAGAAGAAATGGAATGTGTAGCTAATTGCTCCCGCAAACAACTGCCACCTTTTCCATGAAAAGAGAAGCATTGTAGGTGCCTGGTTACCACTGCTAATCATTTAGGCCAAAGATTCTAAAGAATCTTGAGCAACCACAGAGGCATCTCATACCACAGAACCAGAGATCTGTACCAAAGGGGATAGCTTTGAAAACCCTATGGAGTGGTGTTAGGTGCCATCAAGTTGGCCAAGACTCATAGAGACCCTATGGTCAACACATCTGAACCCTGCCCTATCCTACATGATCTCTGTCCTGCTCAAGCCCAGTGTGGCAAATCACTATGTGAATCCACCTCGTTGGAAGTCTTTCATCATCCCACCTTCTAAGGAGCACCCTGGCTGTACTTCCTTCAGTATGTTGTTGTTGTTGTTGTTGTTGTTATGTGCCGTTGAGTTGCTTGTGACTCATAGCGACCCTATGTACAACAGCCCTAAACTCCGCTCTGTCCTGTGCCAATCGCACTGTCTCTGACACTCCCATCCCGATTATCCCAGTCACTGAATCAATCCACCTCATAGAGGGCCTTCCCCTCCTGCGCTGTCCCTCCACCCTCCCAAGCCTGATGTCCTTCTCCAAGGACCGGTCTCTCCTTACAACATATCCAAAGTATGTTAGACGGAGCCTCAGAATCCTTGCCTCCAAGGAGCCACCCGGTTTAACCCTTTCTAGGACAAATCTGTTTGTTTTTCTAGCAATCCATGGTATTCTCAATACTCTTCGCCAGCACCACAGCTCAAAGACATCAATTCTCCTTCGTCCTCCTTGGTCATTGTCTAACTCTCTGATGCATAACAAGTGACTGCAAAGACCATGGCCTGTATCAGACGCACCTTAATCCTTCACTATAGATTTGTTTATTCTTTTGGCAGCCCATGGGATTCTGAAACAACATCACATTTATGCACACAGAGGTCACCATAAATTGGAACAAACATGATGTCAACCAGCAACCCGACAGTTATCTCAGGAGAACTTTCTTCTATAAAATGATAATGTGGAATCTAAATGTTGAGAGAGTTGCTGGGTTGGTTTCATGTTTTGTTTATTGTTTTTTGCTGTATCTCAAGTGCCAAGAACAGCATGGGCATGGAACCGACATTCAGATTCTTTCATTAAAAATGTCTTTGATTACTCCTAATTCCCAGTGACCTTTTTCTTCTCTCACTTTTAAAGTAGTCAGATTATAAATCCCATAATCTACCACTGCATTTTTCATCTTGCCTTTGATGGGTGTCTAATGGCATCCTTGCTAAATACAAAATGACCTCCCTCAAGGTGAAACATGTCACTCATTACAGAGCATGGAGGAGAAGTGGCCTCTCAGATTGGATTGTGTGACTTCAGGCAAGCAACCACGTTGTTCTCCACTTTATCATCTGCAAAATGGGAGCAATGATCCTATCCATCGTTCTATAATTCCTGTATAGGATTTAGAATGGCATAAAGCAAGCTATTATTTCTACTCATACTACTACTATTACATTAATTAATTGCAAGCACTTGGTGATAGGGAGTAGATTAAAAGTTCTTTGGGAGTGCTGAAGGTAAGTGTACAGACCGAAAAAGAGGACATGAGGTTTCATTGTACTGGTTCTTAAAAGGTTGAGGATAATATGGCCTTTACGCTTTTTTCAAAGCAAGGACTACGTACATTTAAAAAACAAACAAACGGCAAGCTCTGGTGGCCTAGTGGCAAGAAGCTGCAACTACAGTCTCAGAGGTGCACAGTTCAAATCCACCAGATGCTCTGCTGGAGAAGGAGGAACAATCTCCTCCTGTACCAGTCAGATCTGATTTGACGGTATGCACAAAAAATAATGAAATAAAATAAATTTAGAATCGATGCTTTAAAAAAAATAAAAAACAAACAAAAAACAACCACCAAAACGGAAGACCACTCCAGCGTATAGAAGGTACTCACTTAACATTACAGAATTACTTAATAAATAAATGGTTCCAGGTATAAAAAAGCAGGTTCTTTGCTCTTTTGCTTACAGTAAAAGAGAGAAGGCTAGTAACAACTTTCAATTCCCTAAAGCAAAAGCCAGGTCGCTGTCCAGGTGCTGAATTCTAGGCTAGGGTGAATGTTTATGTTCATCTCTGACAAAGTGCATTCCAAATCCCTTAGTAGGGTCGATTTTGAAAGCTGGGAGGCGAATATTCCCCCAGAAGTTTCCGGAAGAGGCTAATTCTCTCTTGGTTTCTTTTCGTGTACTGAGCTCTCAATGTCTTTCCTGCTGAGGCGCGCCTCTCTCTACGTAAAAATCCTGGATGTATTTCATCTGGGCCTCGACTTTGTGCGGACCACCTGGGAGTCGGGGCTGTCATCTCAGAGAACAGGTCCCTGGGCCAGACCTTCTTTAAGAGTAGTCAGTCTGCAGGTGGTTCCTTTTTTTGAATCGCTGGAGATGGCAGGACTACGCAGCAGTTGTGGCCAATGCAGCTGGCCCAGCCCCAGAAGCTGAGAGAGCGGCTGCTCTTCTCTGCACCCCTTCTCCTTCCCTCCCACTCTACAGAAAGACCCACCAGACTTGTGGTCGAACTGGAATCGGTTCAAGACCCGCGGGAGCTCTGCTGTGTAACTAACTCCTGTGGCCCCAACCCTGTGAGGAAGAGGCTGGGTGCTCAGCTCGCCAAAAGAAAGCTCGATAGACCGACGCTGGGCCAATGGAAGATCCTCTCCCAGTCCTCCTCCCGTCCACTTATCCATGCAGCTTATTAGATTGTGAAGCCTAAAGGAAGGAATTCTAAACACCAAAAATTAAAAAAAAAAATTTAAAAAGAGTGCAAACAAATCCTCTGCGAGTTCTGTGTTTATTGTGTGTGTGTATGTCCATGACCGCTTGTGCAAAAAAAGAAAAAAAATTAAAAAAATCTTCTAACGTCACAGTTTGCAATCCGGACAAGCGCGCGGAGAAATCCGAGACCTTGCCTGGGATTTCCCTCTCCCCTGGCCGCCTCCTCTTCAGCACCTTCCAAGAGGTAGGTCTGGGGCTTTCGCAAAGCGCTGCGGCAGCCACCGTGGCAATGCAAACCTGCAGCAGTTTTCCCTTCCCCTCCCTCGCACGCTCCCAGCCTTCTTCTCGGGTGAATGGTCCCGAGCGCGAGGTTTCCTTCTGATTCCCCTCGCAGCCCCATAGCCAGCGGCTCGCCAGGTGCGAGTTCTGCACCGGGCCCCACGGGCTCCCGCCCAGGCCGGGGCGGTGGGTGGTGCTGGCGCCGCCCCCACTTCCCCAGGGACCCCGAGGGCCGCGCGCCGGGCCGGAATGTGTGTGTGAGCGCGCGCGCGCGCGGGGCTGGCGGGGAAACCTCCTCCAGTGCGCGCTGTGCCGAGTGTCGCCGGCGGAGAGTATCCTGGAGCCTCGCCGAAGCCTCTAAAACACTCAAGGCTCCCGAAAGAACAGAATCAATGACAGGAAAGACAGGAAGGCCGATCCCTCAAAAGCTGGGTTCCCAATAGTCCTGTTCCGCGAGCTGGGCGGAGTTGGCGGCGCCCACCGTTGGCTCCCCGGACTTGGAAAAAGGGGGTTTGTGCCCCTTTGGGGAGGAGAGAGGTGAGGGACTTGCAGGCAAGCGGGAGTTACACCTGGTGTGGGCACCTGCAGAGAGAACTCGGG